GTAGTAGTAGGTAGTAGTAGGTAGTAGTAGGTAGTAGTAGGTAGTAGGTAGGTAGTAGTAGGTAGGTAGTAGTGGGTAGGTAGTAAGGTAGGTAGGTAGTACGGTAGTACGGTAGGTAGGTAGGTAGGAAGGTAGGTAGGTAGGTAGTAGCAGTAGCAGTAGCAGTAGCAGTAGCAGTAGGAGTAGGAGTAGGAGTAGGAGTAGTAGTAGTAGTAGTAGTCGTGGTGGTAGTGGTAGAAGTAGCATCAGTAGTACTAGTGCTAGTACTAGTGCCCAATAGAGGCAGTTAATTTCTTAGATGCAGAGTTCGTTGCGCTGGAGGAGGGGAGGAGGGTTGGGGGGAGGGCGCAGCGCCTCCTCCCCATGGCCTTCTGGTGCGTCCAGAGATTGAAATCGGATCCCGGTACCATGCAGAGAAACCTTTCAGACCGTCCATTGTCATATTGTCTTATCTTGTCTTGTCTTGTCTTGTCTTGTCTTCCTTTCCCTTCCCTTCCCTTCCCTCCTCCCTTCCTTGTTTCTCCTTCTAGTTTTGCCTTTCTTGAAATCCCTATATATTTGTTCCTGTTTCGATGCCTCTCCCGCGTGAGTTGATGTGAGTCTGTGCGAGATCTCTGCGTTTTGGTCTCTGATCTTGCAAGTTTGGACCGTAGATTCCCCACATAAAAAAGACACACTATGTTTGCATGGTGAATGTGCTAGGTCTTTGCAGCTCCAGGCATTGTACTTCAACTGGGGCATATCCTTGACAAAATGGATTGGCAAATATCTAGAGCTCCTACTCTTAACTATGGTTCACATTAAGTTCACATTGTGGAACAATGTGTCAAAACTGGTCGGTTGGCTGCAGGGGTCTTCTCAGCTGCGCCCCAGCAGCATGTCAATAACGTGGTGGATTAAATCTGTCTGGGTGGCGCATGTAAACCAATCTTAAGAGTTGAGCGAGGCTACCCAGCCTTGTCACCTTCACCGCGTCGTAATGGCGCGTGAACTCTTCGTAGTGCCTAAGAAGCTCACGCTCACATGCTATTGCTCTCTGAGAAAACAAACTTTGAAGGCAATAGCCCTGACTCAATAGGCAATAGGCCACTATGTGGGACATCCCACTGTGAGGTTCTGAGCGACAGGCCTAGGAACACGATCAAAGGGTGCCGGGCCGCCTTGCAATTGACAGCACATAACATGATTGATTATCTTTCTTGAGTTGCACTTATCCCTCTGGAATTCTTCGTATTGTGGCAGGGAGGTTTGAAACCTGAAAAACTTAGCATATGCAGCGCTTTGCGGACCTATAACTTCAGAGTTCGTGGCAGGTGCAGCACCTGTGGTTGGTGGCCAGCGAAGCAGTAATTGAGGCTTGAAATTAATGAACATTTGGATTTCATGATGGGCACCTCGCTTTGTGGACTTTGACATGCAAAGTTCACCAAGTTTTGCGGCAGGCGTGGCATTGTGTGGATTTTATGTAGAACCAGTCAGCCTCAAAAGTGCTGTGATGACCGTTCTAATTCATGGTGGCCTCAAACTTGCGACCGTGTGATTGTGCCAATAAACATCGTGAAAGGGCTCAGAAAGCTGATGCGAAAAGAGGCAAGATTCGAGAAGATGCAGGACGAAAAAGAATGGGTATTCGGTAGACAGCGCGGCTGCCTTCGATCTTCTGCTCCAAGAATGAGGATGGCAGCGAGAGCACGGGGGCTCTGAAACACGTGCGGGCCGATCATGTGACCCTGCACAGTCGATTTGCATTTTGAAATTCTGGAGAGAGCTTGTGCAATCCGTTCGTGGGCCTTTGCACGCGCATTTACAGCCATTTTTGACTAAGCACCCACCACCCTGAGCAACCCTATGAAAAAGCACCTCGGAAGAGCGCGCGACAAGAACGCCACACTCAGGTCATCATTCGGTCATCATCCCTTCAGCCCAACCATGGGGATTGCCTGGCTGGGTAGCGAAAGCCTTTTTCGTCTCTGACAGAAAGCGCTCGTTCGGTGGAAGTGCCTCAGATGGACACCAAAATAATCAAACAAACAAACAACATATATATAATATATGCTACACCCCCCCCAATCCTACCTTTTAGACAATTTCACTGGTATTTGCAATGATTTGGTGAGATTTCAGGGCACAACTGGTATTTGCAATTATTTGGTGAGATTTCAGGGCACAAATTGAACAGCACATTTTTGACCATATTGTGGTCTTTGACTGGGTGTTAGCTAAATCATTGATTGGTTCTGAATCACCGGCGCCTATGATGATTTCATTGTCCTTATGTTTCTCAGTAAAGTTTAAAGCCTTATAGATATAAAGATTGGTCATATTATCATCATCTAAATATGTATTTATTGGTTGGAAAATTGATTGATTTGTTTGTCAGTCTCCAGTTGCCTATGCCTTCTTCAAGGTTCAATATTCCAGTCTGTATGATTTTATAAAATCATTTGGTTTGCCCATCACTCTAGTTAAATCGTCTTCATGGATCGTGAAGGCATCACTCTTGACTGAATAGACCTCAATATCATTTTATAACCGTTTACTATTATATGCTTCATACTTTGAACAGTTATGATATTGAAGTAGCAACTCTTTTTTGTATCTAAACCCATTGACTAATCTATTTCTATTGGTGGTGTTTAAGATGTAATAGGTATTGCCCATGCTTGTTTCTTATTTTTTTTATTTCTTGTTGTATGGCATAAATCCTTCCTCCAACCTCCCTCTGGTAATGGCATGCCTCCTGTTGTATGGCATAAATCCTTCCTCCAAACTCCCTCTTGTAATGGCATGCCTCCCTCAAAGTGTAACTCTTCTGTGCGGTGTTGTGTGATTGTTCTAGCATTCCACAGGTGATGTGTCATATTTTACTTTGTCATCTTTAGTAAGAGCGGCTTCCCATAGTTCATTAACAATCTGGTCATAATTCACCTTATGAGCGAATGAAGGAGTTTTACAACCAATGACTTTTATTTAATTGTTTGCTTCCAACAGTATATATATATTAAGTTATACCTCCTCTTATTGAAAAACATTTGACGCCTTCACTTCCACCATACACAATGTTAAACTAAATATACAATTTGCTAATGTCAATGTCATCACTGTAATGTTTCCAACTATCAAACTCATTGAAGACCGGTATGAATTTAGTCTGTGCAAATGCCCATGTAAAGGCTATAGTCCGGTCAATCTCTATTATTCAAAAATCTGCAGAAATCTTAAGAAATCTTAAGATTTTCCTGGAACCAGACCAAGAACCAAGATTGCACCGAAGTCTTGGGGATACAGTAATCTTGGTTCTTGGTTCTAAGAAAACCTTCTCATCAGAACCAAGATTTTGCCCAAGACTTCTGTGCAATCTTGGTTCTTGGTTTCTTGGTTCCAGGAAAATCTTAAGATTTCTTAAGATTTCTGCAGATTCTTAAATAATGTTCTTGTTTGCTTATTGTTCTCAAATATAATCTTCAGAGATGCACAAGGCTGTGCAAATATACATATATATATAATATATAACTAAAAACGCAAAAAGCCAAGTAGTTGCTATTCACACTGACGTTTGTTTGCCAGTTTCACCCGTGATGAACATGCCACAAACACTGACATGCCTCAAACATGGAAAGGTTTCATCCTGTCTTAGACCCCGAGTGTTTGAAGTGACTGACTTTGTTCTCAAGCTCGGTGCGTGAGATTGCCGCATGTCGCCCCAACCAGCCCTCATTTTGGCGACCTGCAGTGTCCAGCATGTGCATGCGAGGCCATCAGCTATCAAAACAGAAAACCAGGCTCAAGACAAAATGGTTAGGCATGTTTCCAGCTGCTCCAGCTTGTGCTCCAACCTCAAATACAGTGTGCCGAAATCGCGACTCGGCAAGAGTGGAATGGGTGGGATCTTCTGAGAACAGACTGGTTCGGTGTATGCGCCATTGCAGTTTTCGTTTGCAAGGTGCTATTGCTCAGAATATGGGCGAGTCTTATTCTTAGTCCTTTGCTGATTGTATGGGTTGCACCCATTTCGATTTTGGAGCCAGGTCTAGTTCTCTGAATGCCCGGCAGTGAGACCATCTGCAGTGTAGCCATCTGCGGTAAGAGTACCAACGCCAGGTATTGTCGCCGGGTCCTGCATCGAAAAAGGCAATTAAAGAACTTAATTTCTGTCTATGCATGTTATTGGGGAATGACATCAAGAACAAAGCCTGAAGAAAGTACTGACTGGCAGTGGTGAACTCGGATTTCTGCAAGTTCGTGTGTCTTAGTGGAAGGCCCATTGAAGACATTGAAGTGCAAGCAACTTCAACGACATTACGACAAAGGCTTGCGGCACGACAAATTCTCAGTGAAAACAGTAGCTCCAGTGATCTCCGGAGCGAACTGCAAGGGGCTCCAGGTGTCTGGCGGATCTCTCATGTCGCCTGTGTGTCCAAAAAGGACGTGCCTGCAAAAGCACTCGTTGCAGACTCAACACACATCGTGCACAGCATGTGGCTGCCTCTCAAGCCCGGAGGCAGGAATCTCAGCCTGGCGAACTACTCACTGCCAGGAGCCGAGTGAAGCCCAATATGATGTCTTGCCTTCTCTGTAGCAGGTGTCTTCCTGGCAATAGGCACCAGAACCCAATCTCATCTTATGACGCCCTCCTCTTGTTCACCAAGAACTTGCGTTGGCTGAGGACCAGACCAGTTGTGGACAGTGTGAGAGACACTCATTTTTGGTCCTCCCACGATCCTGGAAAATTCAGTCAAAACTACTACTGAACGAGCTGGACGTAGTCGCCAGTTCTGGCATTTTGAGTCCAGGGCCTTTGACCATGCTGAAGATCTTCTCCAAAGCGGTCCTGTAATTTTGAATAATATACAGTAGCTATGTGTGTATTTTAGTGGCTATACTGCTGGTCAAAGTTCTATTCGGAAACTAAAAGGTGATCTTCGGAAACTTTACGGTTTTCTTCGGAAACTAATCTTCAGAAACTTTACGGCTTTCTTCGGAAACTAATACTCGAACTAAAAAGTGATCTTCGGAAACTTTAAGGTTTTCTTCGGAACCTATTCTTCGGAAACTCTACGGTGTTCTTCAGAAACTAATGTTCGGAAACTACAAAGAGTCGAAGAGCAACATCAAACCTGCACGAAAAACTTTCTGCAGATCGCAAAACAAGCATGTATATACCGTAGCCGTCACAAGGTACATCAATATCCCACCCACCTACCCACCCACCCACCCAGTGCTCCTTCATGCAAATTGGCTGCAACATTGTAAAAGTTCTGAGGAATACTTTCTAAAGTTAGCTTTCTGAAAATTGCGAAATAGTCTCTGAAGATCGCGGAATAGTTTCTGAACATCGCAAAATAGTTTCTGGAGAATAGTTTCTGAAGAGTAGTTGCGGAAGAGTACCAAATAGTTGCGGAAGAAAAGTTTCAGAAGAATGGAGAGTTGCGGAATAGGACTTTGTTCCTATACTGCTATACTGTATGTCTATGGGTTGCTGGACTCTGGACCAGCATGGAGCCTCATTGAAGTTGTAGATCAGAACTCCCTTACTGTAACTCATGTCCTGCCAGGTTCCAAATGGCAAACATTTGTATTTTTTTGCAAACACCACAACCGTTCCAAGTGCCCCTGGAGTGTATGACAATGGATGACATGCAAAGTCTGAATCGAACCTCTTGCGTAGGACGCTCCGCTTCGATCAGGCTACAGGCCCTTTGGGCTACAGCCAAATCTTGCAAACACGACACTTGAGATTTGGAGACTTCAGATTTCTGGTGAGCCAAGGAGAGTCTCCTCTATTGAATTCGGCTGAGCAAGCTTTTCTGATCTATGTTGCTTCAAGTAGAAGTTGAAGCACATTCTGTCCATACCCTTTAGGAACTGCAGCTGCGTTCCATGGATCAGCATTGTCTTTTTCATCTACTTCCATCTGTTGGTCGGTATGCATAGGCATAGACTTGATCTTTTCTCGGGCTTCCATCGGTTGATCTTCTCTTCGCATGCTCGGAGGGGCGAATCTGTTTCTCACCTTCGGACATATCATTTGAAGCGCTAATTCCCAACAGGAGCAAATCAAAGTGACTAGAGTAGAATGAGTAGGTAGAAGTAGTCTTCACTCAATATGCGCACTGCCCCGGTTCATACAGGGGAGCTTCAAACGCCCTGACTCGGATTTCCAACAAAAGGGTTCAGGGTTGAACGTGATTGTACAATATTCTACACTTGATTTGGTGGAAACCAAGGCCACTCGAACAACAGTGCAGCGATGAAACTGCAGTGTAGTCCGGTGGGAGTGCAGAAGTTCAGTCAAAGTGGTGCAAATCATGTCACTCTTCTTGCATTCTCTGACTTGATACGTGCACAATGGATATGAGACTCTGACATATAAGATATAATAAACATCGGGTGTTTTCTAATCTTCACGCGCTCCTTTTTACGTGGAACGGCATCAAACCCTCTTGGTCCCAGCTGCCGGTGTCCACTCAAAGCTTGCTCTTTGTACCTTCGAACACTTGAAACATTTTGTCTCGCAACATCTCGCAACGCTTTACCTTATTTCACTCCCTGAGGAGATACTTCGGTAGAGCAGCACGCCATGACATCGTGCGCCTGTATTGCGCACCAACCATGCAAGCACTTCCTGCCAAGCGAGTGGCGTGTCAAGGGTGCACTTGGAGAATCCACAACCGTACGGACCGTACGGGAAGTAGCTGAGTTGTTGACCACACTATCTTAGATATTTAGACTTGCAGTGCTGGAAATATATAACATATGCACATTTATAATCAAAAAAACTATAGAAAGCTGTGATTGACACTCTAAGAGCATGTCTTGCCACAATGTGAACTTGCCCCAAAAGCTCAACTCGCGAAACTAATGAATGTAAAGTACAAATAGAACTACAACGCCCCGGAAAATCACCCAAACTAATTTCTGCCTGAACAAGGTAGTTGGGTGCTAAACCTGCCCCCAGTTAATCCGAGCCCCACAACCAGGTCACTTCTACTACTACTACTACTACTACTACTACTACGGCTACCACTGCTACCACTGCTACCACTGCTACCACTGCTACCACTACTGCTGCTACTACTACTACTACTACTACTACTACTACTACTACTACACTACTACTACACTACTACTACACTACTACTACACTACTACTACTACTACTCCTACTACTCCTGCTCCTGCTCCTGCTCCTGCTACTGCTACTCCTACTCCTACTACTACTACTACTTTCATATACTGTAGTTGCTTTCATGTACTTGCCTTCAGTTTTACAATCTTTTGTCGCGATCTGCAGGACTTGATAAAACCAGCTATTACAGTATCAGTATTAGACATTAGCTATTACACATGTGACTTGAACCCCTTTTGAATTTGTCCTCTTTGGTCTGACTGCGAGCCTTGCTTCACTGGGCACGTCAGCAATCAAAAGAAGATCAACATGGGCAGCACAGTAAATCTCAGGCATCAGCTGAGAGTTCCAAAGTTGCAACTGTCGACCTGGTGAGCAAGCTAGAAGGAGCCCAACAAGTAGCATCAAGTCACCACTGAGAGTGTACGAAACACATCCACCTTGAAGAAGCCAGTGGCCCTTGCTCGCCTCTTCTTCAACGCTTCTTCGGTTTCACGGGCAACCTCCACGGTGATCTAGAGTGCACCAATGGCTCAAAACTACTGGAGAACAAACACAAGCGCCTTGAAGCCCTTGGACATTAAGAAGTTTGCCTTGAACATTTATTCTGTTTCAAATCAAGCCGGCAGTAAACTTTATTTGTCACATGGTTTCAACGTGTGGAACATGTGTGGAGATTGTAGGAATTGATGGCGAGCGTCCATCGGGAAAGCCACAAATGGATCCGCAGACCTGGAGCAAGTTCACTTGGCTTGCAAGCAATGCACTTCAAGATGCTTGCATTGGTAATCACACTCTTGTAAGGTGCTTGCACTGAAATATCTCTCTGTTTGCCGGCAAGCAAATATGCGAGCAAGTACCTGTCGTCAAGGCCAAACATATTGATTGCATCTCGATGTGTGAGGGTTTATTCTACACTTCACAGCACAATATCTGCAATTCTTTGCACCTTCACACTTCACACTAACAATCGCAAATTGGAGTTTTGATCCCAAGACACGTGTTCCGAATCGACCTGCGTCGCACAAACATCAAACGCACGCATGTCTTCACCACCTTCAACATGCTTGCACTGTGTGATCTGTTGCGCTACGGGGCGCACGGTAGGACCAAATCATACCTCGAGACTTTCTCGAAACAATGAAAACGGAAGAGCCACTGATGTGGTGGAGCATCCCTTTGAGATGTAGAGAAGCCTTCAGCGAACTAGGATTCGAGCGCGTAGTTGCTGTGAGGCGCGTTTGAACCCGTTTGCAGCCTCAGGACAATGGGCACGGCCGATTGATGTTCGTTGTCGAAACTATACTCCTGATTCATGACAAGTGATGCACCTTTGGATTCGCAGCACCACAGGCGGCAAACTCTCAAGTGCTTGCCCTGTGGATCAAAACTGATGGGACACCCAAAGCATGGAGTGCAATAATCTATTTATATATATATAACCAAGAAAAGTGGAACAAGTTCCATTACTTGCTTGTAACATCTTGTAACCAAACAGCCGAACACACAACTGGGCGGGAAGACATCATCGTCGGTTCCTCTTCTGTCCTCCTACTCCTCCTCCTCCCCCTCCTCCCCTTCCCTCCTCCTCCGCCTCCTCCTCAACGCTGCTGACAGCAGCAGTTTTCATAATGTAGCAGTACCATCAGCACATCACCGTGACAAGAGACACAAAATGGAACAAGTGAGACCACTCGCACCAACCCGAACCCCGATATGGATCCCATCGCCCATCACATCGTCCAAGCATCCATGAAGTTTAGAACGACATGTACTACCACACTAAAGTTGTCCAGTGAAAGTTTGCACACTCTGGTTGCCAAAGCCTTGTAGGTCATCCAGAATTCCCTTTGCCACCTGCATTTTGGTGCTGCTTGCTCAAAGGAATGGGAAGTCTCACACACACACACGCACATGCACACAATGTTGCAGGGCTCTGCTAACACTGAATGGATTCGCCTCAGATTGAGAGCGCTTCAGCAGCTCTTCGGTGATGTCCGTCATAGGTGGATTCAGATCAGAAGGGAACAAGTACGTAGACGTAGCTTTTTGCGTGTGTGGTTGAAAGCAGTCTTGCAGTGGATTTGTTTGCTGCAGTGCTTGATCAAAACTGCCTTTCATCCAGTCTTGATTTCTGTGTGAACAAAGCCCTGATGCGGATGACAAGTCCGAGTGCTCTTTTTGTCATCTGAATGCAGCATCACACGATTGTCATTAATCATGGCTTCACCCTCTCCACCTACCAGCTACAGAAGCGCCATCTCTCGTCTCTCAGAAGGGACCTGGGCTCGTGGCATTCGGATGCATTCAGATGATTCATGCTGGAACTCAAGCCTACTCATCAGAGCAAAACCTCCTGCTCCTCCAACACCTTCTGTTGGGGAGGATCTCAAAGCGCCCTGTGACCACTTTCCACATAGATTCAGACTAATTCTGAATATTACGGTATATATTCTACACTATATAATTATCTGGCTTTTTTGACTGGAGCGACGGTTTCGACTCCCAAGCTTGGGTTGCTACCCATCACAAGCCTGTTGTGTCTGCATCATCCGTTCGTGCGCGTCGGTAGGACGTTCTGCATAAACCGTGAAGCCTTGGGCAAGCTGATCTGGTGAGGTGCGAAAAGGCTCGCTGCGACAAGCTGCCACGTCCACGAGGCTGCCTGTCTCTAGGTGTGATCAGGCAGGAAGGCCTATTGCAAAAGGCTGGGAGGCAACGCTTCGACATCTGAATGGACTGCACATTAATGCACACATATTATGAACCCTAATCCCGCTCTGGCAAAGGAAGTTCATGGCACTGCCTCTATCCGCTTGTGGCCACATCTGCGACAGAAATTTGAATCGGCGGCGTATGTGCTTCCGCATTTGATGCAAGTGGCCTCAGCCTGACCAGTGCTACAAATATGAACACATTTTGAACTCTTAGGATTTCTTCACATGCAGCACTGCAATCCCTATTGCGACTAGTGTATTGCGTGTGCCTAGGCCTAGAGTCTTGCACCTTTCTGGCTTGGAATGCCTAAGAAAACAACTGCATTTGGATCCCTGTATACCTTCTGTCTCTACCATCTGTAGGAAGCAGGAACTAGTCCAACGAGTCTCTTGTGCTGTGATGATGTCTGACATGCATCACTAAACAAGGAGTCTCCCGCAAAGCCTTGTTGCCAGGAGTAACCAGCCCACTGGCACCGTGGACAGGTCCTGTCACATGATCGCAGAACGTCTTCTTTGGTTGTCAATAATAGATCCTTAGAAACACACCCTCTTCGAACGTCTATCCTGTCTTTGTGCTCAAAGGCTTTAAATGTGTGCCTACCACCCTCTGGTCAAGCAAGCCAATGCAGGTAGCTTTCACAAAAATCAGCAACAAGGACAACTCAAGCAGTGCTTTTCGAGCCCGCCTCCAAGTGCCCGTGCCGGCGGCAGGCCCCTTTGATGAATGTGCTTCATTGGTAAGTCTGACCATCTGGTGGAACATTGAAGTGCTTGACACCACGTCTTCACTTAGATGCGACCGTGCCCCATATAAGAAGTCGCGGCCAATCCCAACCTTTTAAAGGACGTGGTTACTGCGGCCAAGGAGCACGGGACTCTGTGCGAGTGTGAGTGGACACCTCATTCTTTCATTTTGGTTCAGAATAGAGCACTTCAGTCGAAGCGATGCCCAAACATGTCTGACAATTATATCATAAATGCGGCAGTTTTTGTGTGCTTGAACGCAAGCAAAATACTCGATGTAGAAATGTATTTGGTCCTCAACTCGTGATGCTCTTATTTTTTCTGGTTTGCTGATCAATATATATATATATATGTATATGTACAGTGTGCAGTGTTTGCTGCAGGTTTGCATCAGTTGATTGTAGGTTGCCTTTTTCATAGGTTTTGCAACGTTTGCATCTCCTCTACTTGTTCACGGTCCTGCGCTTCCTTGCGGCCTCAGTGCCTTCCTCAGTGGCCTTCCTAGCCTCGGACCTTCCTCCTTGCCTTCGTTTGCCTCTTCAGTTCGTTTTGCTAATCATTCTTGCTTCCAGATGCTCCGCACAAGATGCCCTCGAGTTGCTGAGAGTTAAATGTGATTGCTTTGTGTTCTGAAGTTCTGAAGGCAAGAGTTACGTTTATATCAACGGGAGTCTGCTGGATGAGGTGAACATTGATTCACCATCCTTGAACCTTCTTAGAATTGTTCTGCTGTAGCTCAAACGACTGTCTTTCAATCTGGAGAAATCCCACACTCTGAGGTCCCAGCGCGGTTGGACACGTCGAAGGTGCACCTGCCAACTACAGTAATGCCCACGATCTCTCATTTTGGGAATGGTAACCCGCCTTCGATTCCAACTGGTCTTGGGCCAATCCTGAAGGATGGGATGCTTGCTGCCCGTGCTTCATTTGAGAATTCCAAAGTATGCCCGGGCCCCTGCATCAAAAAGGAGTTCCAAGGGTCCAAGACTTCACTTTGCTCGTGAGCTAAGGTTTGTGGGAGCCATCGATTCCCTCCCCTTTGGCTGACAAGAAGCGCCACTGCAGCTGCACGCGCTGAATTCTGCACCCCTTTGGCCTTTACGCAACAAGCCAACAACGCTCACACTTAAGTGGTCGTAGTCTTGGCATGTCTTGCATATGGCATATTTTCAGCAAAAGTAGGACAGAAAGATCTGCCGCCTGCGGTATGGGCGACAGTTGCCCAGGCACAGCTGTCTGTGGTGGGCTGCAACGCCCAGCCGCTGGTGGTGCACCGAGGAGAGCCATGATCCGATTCCTCAATTTGCATATTTAGAGCTTCTTGGTCGTGCTCATCATAGCCCTATGTGCTCCTCGACCCCAACCACAAATTTCTTGCCCGTATCATATCTATTTGCATTGCCAAAGCTCAGCTCCATTTCAGCGTTGTGAGTTTGAGCCCGCAACTCCTCATGGCAGCTGCTCAAGCTACTCAACCTAGTGAACAGCAACATTGAACTCTTCCGCTCCAAAGTGCTGACGCTGGTGCCTTTGCAAGCGTCAAGTGGCTATGGGCCACTGAATATGCCTCTTAGTGCAGTGCATGCAAAGTTCACTAGCAAGGACAAATTGGCCTCATTCACGCCGTTCACGGTATTGCTGAGCAAATTGGTACTGTGACCGAATAGCCTAAGTATGTTGGAAAAGTCTCCGCAGCAAGCCGCAACTTCATCAATTGGGGCTGCCCACTCCTCACTGAGGAGCTATCTTGCAACTAATCTGACCATTAACTCTCTTGCCATCTCTGCTGACCTTCACATCATCGCCGAATGAACCATTTGAGATGGTGTCTTGTTACAAAACTCTGTATCTCTTGAAACCTGAGTAGCTGCTCCACAAGCTCATGCAACTGTCGACGAGACGCTTCGTTCCTCAGAGGCTGTCACACCAACACCAAACAAAGACAATGCGCGCGGACACACACACACACACAATGACAACATCTCAGGATGATGCGGTGCATTTTTTTCCAAGTTCACCAGCGGAAACAGCGAGGCTTCCAGTGCTGCCCGCCATACTTTCCAACATGCCATGCAATTGTCTCTCCCGGCCTCGCCCACATTTACGCTCCCAAGATCCGTCAGTCTCCTACTTCAGTGCTTGAAAAAAAAATTGCCAGCCTAGACCTCAAACAGTTTCAGCAGGATTGTTTTGTTTCTGCTCCTTGAGTTCTAGTGTTGGTGGACAGTCTGTAGTTTAGATATGCATATACAGATACATATAGAATATTTTTCAATATTCGTAGAGCCTCCAGATGTTGGAAAACAACATGTAAAAACGATTTTTTGGGAACATGATGATATCATGATGTTACATGGGAAATACAGCACCAAATCAAGGTTGCATTCATAGCCTCAAAAGAACAACGCCGGATCAGGCGGTGGAAAACGGTAAGCCGCAGCCAAGCAGGGGACAAGGCGGAGAAAACACCAGTGCCCGGCCAGTTCTAAATTTTTTTATCCCTCTAAACTGCGTGATCGCAGGCCCGGACTGTGGCTGACCACAGTGAGACACTAACCGGCAAACTACGACCGAAGTGAGCGAACGAAAAGGGCAGAGAGAGGGACCTAAAGCGCACGAACCTAAATGATCCTAAATGCAGAAACAGCACCTAAGAGAGTGCTGCATGGGATCAGCCATGATCAGCCCTAGTTTCATCAACACAAATTGGCAAATCAATCTGGGAAAGCACCACGAAGTGGTCCCGGGAAGCTGTGCAAGAAAAGTCTGGAAGGAGGAGCACCTGGTCCCAATGCCGGAAGCACGAAAGCAAGCGCCAAGACTTTACATGGATCCCGAGAAAGCCACGCGTTCACTCGGGAACACGGACGGTCCAGGCCCAGGTTCCTCTTCAAGCTCCTGACCGTGTTAGCCATCATACGAATCTGATCGAACATAGGGGCAGGCTTGGCCAACTCATTACCTTTAACATTGCGAAATCTAGGGGGTTTGCGACCGCCGTGGAAGCTCTCCTGGCTGGAAACCAATTTTCCCTTGGCCATGAAGCTCAAGCGCTGTGCAAGCATGAAATGGCAGCGAGGTGGATCGAACGTGCGATCGGGACATGCCGAGCTCAAATCTGTGATTCACATTCCTCAACGTTTTTTGTTGGTTTCGGCTCCGTCGCCTGAAAGAAGGAGAGCCTTCACGAAAGGTCACGCGAATTCCGCCCGCTCCTCAAGGATCTGCCACGTCGGCAAGCCCTTGACATTTTTGAATTCAGCCCTCACCGCTCTCAAAGGAAACTGGTGGATGGAAAATCGTGGGCTCCGGCTGCTCGTGCTCATTGCACGCTGCGCTGAGCGCGCGCGCCGACGCCGTCGGTGAAACGCAACCCCGGAGCTTCTCCAAACTCCCTTGCTTAGCGCAGCAGCGCGCTGTCCGCTGCCGTGGGTTCTCGGCCAGGAAGCTCGTCCATGTTCCCGTCAGGGATCTCCTCCAGCTTCTTCTTCACCTTCTTGGCCGTCTGGCGCGCAAAGTCAGGGCTGTACTCTATGCTCCAAGTTCCCTTCGCGATGGTCTGGCGAAGGTGTGTAGCGTCCATTACCTTAGCTCCAGCGACGACGAACATGTTCAATGTAGCTGTCCATCGAAAGGTGGTCTGAGGTCGTCGAAGCTGTTGACGGAGGTTGGCCACTGTGAACACCAGTGACTTCTGTGCGCCAAATCCAATATCTTGGGCGAAGCGATCATACACATCTTTTGCGTCAGTGACTCCAACAAGAGGCACTCTGGTGATCTGGATGTGGGCGTCCTTGCCCTTGATGTCGATGCCTATGCAAGGAACTCTCGAATCGAGAGGGTGTATCACACTGCCCTGCTCGGCCCAGCGGAAGCAAGTCGGATGCCTCTGGACCAGGAATACAACGTAGCGTTGAAGTTGAGCCAGAGGCCAAAGAAGACGTTGTCGACCCTCGGCACTTGTTGAAGTCGTCCTCCATGACCGTCGCTGTAGTCCACCAAAAGGCTTCCTGCTTGTGCTCGAAGGGGCAAGAGGATCCTCACGGACTCTCGCTCCACATCAGCATAGGCCTCAGTCATGCCAGATAGAGTCGTCTCGAGCATCTGCTTCTGCATCTCCGTCAGGTTGAGCTTCTGCTTGAAGAACCAAGCCACCTCCGCGTCGTCCAGGGTGATGTTCTCGGCCTTCATCTCCGCCACCAGATTCCGGTAGCGAAGTGCGAGGTTCACCACCGACTCCACGGGGCCTCTCGCCTCTCTTCATGTTCATCAATTAGCGCTCCCACAGCCCTCCCTTTCGGACAGAGACCGTTCGCCCCACCATGAAGTCTTGGGGCTCAGCACCAACTGTCTGAGTCGTCAACCTCCTCAGCCGGGATAGACCAACTCCTCCGGCTGGAGCTCCAATCCTCTCAGCTTCGCTGCACCTTTCTACTTCATTGCGAACCTGGCTGCCAAGTTGAAGTTATTCGTCTTCTCCAGCCGGTGGAGGTCAGCCACCACTTCACCATTCGGCAAAACTATCGAAGGCTGTCTGCTCGACCATCCCAAACTGGGATGGAGGCATCAAAGCCACTCTCCGACCAGCCACCAGCATAGCCATGCCCTCTATCATCCTTTGTGTCGTTGAGGATGTAATGCCTTCAAAACTTGCACCAAAAACTCTCCAAGGCGCTCTTGACCAAGAGGGTGTTCTGCACCTTGTCATAGGCGTTGTAGTCCACTTCTGCTTGAAGGCGAATTTCGCCAAGCGCGTCACTTCCGCAGGTCGGCCGAAATGGCTCGAATGAACCTGCGGTGTTGCTGCTGCCGTGTCGTGCGTGCCCTGCCCCGTTTTGGGGCTCTGCTACCACTGCGGAATCTAGGGGGTTTGCGACCGCCGTAGAAGCTCTCCTGCCTATAGAAACCCAATTTCCCTTGGCCATGAAGTTCAAGCGCTGTGCAAGCATGAAACGGCAGCGAGGTGGATCGAAGGTGCGATCGGGACACGCCGAAACCAATGGAGCTCAAATCTGTGATTCACAAGCATTCCTAACGCACTATGCCGATCTGAGTTGTTTAATCTTACCGGCAACACTCAAGCCAATATCAAGACCTGAAAACTTTCGAAAGCGGAAAACAAGCTCAAGCCACGAAATGTCACAAAGCCGAGGAGACTTCACATCTCTATATACTCCATTTCAAGCTACGAATCAACTGTCAAAGCTTTTCCAGGTAGATGGGATCATCAAGTCAGGTGCGAGACTAGGCAAGCGAAGCACTGGCAAGAATGTCAACACACGCAAGTCGTCAGAACACAACGTTCCAACATCCTTCGAAGGAGAGCCCTTCTTATTTTGGAGAAAATTAAAACACACTTGACGTGAAACTCGGCAAGTTTTGGGGACAAACTCCGCTCATGTTCTTTTGGCAATTGCACGTATTCTTCCAGACTTCACTCTGCTTTGCAAGCCACAAGAACAAATCAGTCACGCTCAAGGCATTGGAAACACGCACCATAAACTCCTGGGATCATAGCCCAGCTGATGCGCCAAAAGTTCTCCACACCTTCCATGCGACGCAAGCAATTAGGAGAAACGCAACATGCAAAATAGGCCGCTGGAACCTGCAAACTACGCGATGACATCAACAAGCCTGGCGAGCTCACCTTGGTAGAGTACCAAGTCCTGTATGGATGAGTTCGGCAGATTGATATTATCATGCATGGTCATCCCGTGAGAAACCATGGACCGCAAGCAGGCTCTGCCTAGTTGACCTTCTATGCCATGGTACTTCCCAATGCAATATTAGATACAATAGCTGTGCGTGCAATGGAAACTGAATAGCTTCGAAGACAGAAAAGCAACAACTGAGCTGGTTAGGTGAAGGCAAAAGAAAAGCGGGCGAGGAGCAATAAGAAATAAGACGCAGCATGACCAACAATAGCGGCAGGGTCCACAAAAGCAACACACTACCAGGCCCAACAGTAACAACAAGTGCAGGATGACCAGGAGCAGCAAATAGAGCAGCAGCAAGAGGCAACAAGAGAAGCAAAAGCAGCACTCAGTAGCATCACCACCAACAACCAAACTGTTAACGACAATGTATCGGGAGCGTATGTGGCCCTGCATTCTGCACAACACCTTGCAATTGGAGTCTTTATGCACTTCCCGAAGCAGTATTATAGAATAATTAATCAATGATCAATGAAGCAACCGCAGCAATCAAAGCGCAACATGGAAGGGATCATCCAACCTGCCGATGCTGTTCGAGAACAGACGCGTAAAAGCTCGAACTTTAGCAGAATGCAAATGGACAATGGGACGAAGTACAGTATCACTCACTACAACCAAACCACGTACAAGCACCTCCCAAACACACTGACTGAACATCTTCCAACTGTGTTCTTCTCCTTTACTTCCGTTGTTTTGCATGTGCAAATCTTGGCGATCCTCAACTGGTTCAAGCAATCCTTATCTCATCGGGCTCGTCGTTCGGTTAACATGCATGACATCTTCGCTTGTCGTATATGGTCTCACTTGCTGATCACTTGCATTTTGGCACTTGCTGCATTAAGTTGTTGTATCATTCTTTGACCACCTCAAACAGCAACTACGCTTGCATTTCTGATTGTCTAAGGTGCAATGTGCACATGTTGTCACAGCGTAGCACAGGTTTAAATTGCTAGCGGCTAGCGCCAGCTTTCCTCGCATTCTTTCTATATAACCAAAATGAATCTAACTAGCACATACTAGCACCCACTGGATTGGAATTCTCACCATAATTAACAAACCATTGTTTTGTGTTCATCCCGTGCAGCAACCCAGAGTCTCCATGCGAAAGCGAAGGAGTGAAACGGGTCAGCTTGTCCTCAGTCATGGCACTGACCTGCAAGCAGCTAAAAGGCTGCAAGTCCGCTTGCACATATGAACTTTCTGAATCAACCATCACGAGGATTTCTGCAACTTTCTCTGTATCCCAAAGCACCAACTATATTTCTTAAACATGCTCAACACCCAAAGTTCTTGCGGAAGAGTTTCGACAAAAAACTAGTTTCTGCTGTGCCTCGCGCTCAAACTCGAGGCACAGCCTCACTTCTAAGATCAAGGTCATTCCTCCACCAAAGGAGTCAACATCAACTAGATCGGCTGTACAGGGCCAAACAAGGCCTGTGTCGACTTGAATCCCAACAGCTCTGCAACCTTTGCAACTGCAGTAAAGAAACGTTTACAACTGCCCTGGTTGGCCAAAGTTGAAGTCTTGGTGCTGCCAGCACACTGCTCCGTCAGCTGAGCCATCAAGTTCGCAGCAAACTGACGGAAGGCTGTGACCTTTCGGGGGAGCTTTCCACTCGAGACATGTCTCATGTACAAGGGTTGACATTACATATATAAATGAATGGATTTAGAAATACAATTGAAGACTCAAACCTTTGAACTTCTTTGCGTGACATGGTCATAATCATAGAGCAAAATAATACGACGATTTGAAACGCTGTGTTGGTGCAATTTGAATCCACTATCACGCCACCCTGCACATCAGATTTGCAGGGCCTTCACAGGGATCCGCTGCTGGTGTTCCTGATCCAAGATCGCCATGAAGTCAGGAGCTGCAAAGCAAACTGCAAAAAACACAAAATACACGACAGCTCTCAATATTTTGCATGTTCTCGATCCACGTGGTTTGGCTGGTTGCTCTTGAGTGGAATTTAGTCAGGTGGAAGGTTGCCCGCTCTCTGATATCGTTCAAGAGTATGTGGGTTCGGGTTTGCGTGGCTTACGTAATGCATTCAAGGCTTGCCATGAAAGTGCTGGGTTAGTCTTGTATGAGCAGGCCCGCACGAAGTGCTGGAGGCATGTGTCTGAAACCCAAACACACCTGTGGGCCTTCTTCACGAGATGTAATTAATGATTAATATGGTTTTCTGTCTGTCGAACACCGCTGAGTGGTCTGCAAAACTGATCCCTTTCAAACTCTTTTAGTGAGTATTGAACATTCTCGAAGCACTTGAAGCCGCAAGGCGCGTACGAACCATTGGGACGTCAGCAAGTATCGGACCATGCGTTGGATATGCTGGGTATTGCATCATTGTAAGCGTTGTAAGCTAGTATCAAGCTACTCCGAAGCTTGTATTAGTTGTATTGCGTGATGTTGAATGTTCGCTTCTATAAAAGCCCTATATATATATATACACATGGTCTATGTTTGATTGGTATTCAACAAAAGCTGTACTGCAGCTGCATCCAATTGGCATTCACTTCATTTCACTTCTTTTTGCCAGTTGACCAATCAGGTCGAAGCATCTGAAGCTAAAGCAGCTAGCTCGTTGACCTTGCCAGGCAAAGGAGCTCTTCGACAATCAAGAACTTTTCAGGAGACCAAACTCAGCATGGCCAGAGTGCCTATGCAAGGTGAGCTGAAAAAGTCGTTGCTTCGGAACATACCTGAAAGGTGGATCAACGTCAAACACATTCCAAGACCTTCTTCATGCGTTCGCAAAGCTGCTATCAGGGGTACACCATGTTCGAATACTCAGTGGTGCCACGCCATCTGGAGTTGACCTCGGATATGACTCAAATCTTTGATCAAAGGACCGCAAATTGTCTTGCGCCATGACATGGTTGACAGTTCTCACGAATCAGCACTGATGGATATGATGTTTCACCCTTGTACATATGCGTTGGAATATATTGGAATACTAGGCTTGAATGAGTCTTGAGTCCTCTATCATCATAATCACAATCATCTATCCACGGACCCACTTCAATGCTCTGCGCCGTTTCAGCTTTTCTCACCCTTTCTTTGAACTTTGGGGGGTGGTCACACCAAATTGCAGTAGTGGTTACTCTGGTTTTGAACTAGCTCAGTTTTGAGCTTCAAGTTTCCCTTTGGAAAGCTGGGCCTCTAGCGTAATAAGTCTGCAGCGAGACATATCCAGGTCCTGGTGCCTGCCAGGCCGACTGCCATAGACTGCCCAGCATCTTGGAACAAACAGGAACAGCCGGCCACAGTGCCAAGCTGTGCCGTCCTCCTCCAACCATGAAACAAGGGCGGCTTGGATCGGATCGGGCAGGACCAGTGGTGTGGTTTCCTGGGATCAAGGGAGCTAAGCCGAGAGAGGAACAATGAATATCTTGCATGGAATGAATGGACCTTGATGTCTAAAATTCCAGATTGACTGCTGCTCTCTGGGCACCTCAAACAGCAACAGCTGGGCGTCGACCAAGGGATCTCCTCTGCAAGAATAAAAACTTGGATGAAGGCAACACTTGCACGCACATCATTACGATCAAAGGTGACCAAAATGGGATGCAGTTTTAGGCAGCTATATGATGATACGTAGCATCTCAAGAGGATCAGCTAATGTGCACATATCCGAAGGAATGAATATCCTCAATATCCGACTGCGCTCAGTTCAAAAACTCCCACACTTCCTGCGACTGAACCGCTTATGTCCGAATACATCCACTTGTGGCTCCTTCGACCAAGACTGGAAGAACTAGTTCAGAACTACCTCCACTAGCCCAAATGTCCACCAGCACCTCGGTTTAAATCGCGCGGTCGAAGAGGTGTTGTGCTTAAATTTGCCAACACTTACGAGTACGGCGGTTGTATTGTAATTTGTGGGATCTTGAAACATACCTTGCCCAATCATCATCATCAGGCACATGCTGGTCATTCTGCAAGTGACAAATATATAAATATATATATATATAGAGTTTCTTTACATTTTGTTCTTGTTCATCCTTGCTCCTATTTCTCGACGCCGTGTCTTGGTCTCCCCGAGACCGAAGCATCATCAGCTTGCAGCGAGATCTTTGTACACAAGCCGGCTGTGATGAACGCGTCGAAGGCGGCCTGGCGGCTGTGACGAGCGACGCCTTGGGTCGGTTCTAGCTGATTCTAGCTGTCGGATGCCGTCGCCCATATTTCTGGCCTACAGCTTGAGACGATCTGAAAATGCTTGTCGCTCATGATCCGCTGCGCTCATCAAAAGTCTCATGAACATTCAGTTCAGTCGCCGATCGGTCACCTCCCTTCTTTTTCTCAAGTCGCAAGCAGGGAGCTGTGGTACCTTATATAGCTCTGTCGGGCATCAGAAGCACTCTTCCGATATACGTTGGTAAGAGCACCTAGAGCCACTAGGAGGTGAACTCTGTGCACCGGCAGTGAAGAGAACTCTCAACACCCAGCCGGGAAATAGAACAAGTATCCAACTGACTCTATCTCGTGAGTATCCCACCCGGCCTCACACTCTCGACAAGGGTGACCCAACAGGACACCTGGCGATCCTCACCCGCCGGTCGGAGGTAACTAGCTCCTTTCGCTCCCTTTCCAGGGCGAAACCACCAAAAATCAATGAAGTGAACACCAAACTGTTTCAGGGGTAGGGTGGGTGGGCAAAAAAGAAATACACCTGAAGCCTTTTGGAAGCCTTTTGGAGTCACTTGCGCATGGACGGCGGCGGCGGCGGCGATGTACAAACATGTACACATGCAAGCATGCTCAAGGTTAAGAACAACTGACATGAATGATTCAGTGTCCACCATACCTGCCCTACAAGCACAAGACACTACAAGGCAAACTCATTGGCATGTGCAACTGCTGGTCCCGCCAGGCTAGCAAGGCCTGCAACTGACTGATGAGAAACTCAGCCTGCAATCTCTTCGCAGTCAAACATGTCAAGACATCCGTGGGGCGCTGTCAGAGCCTTATTTACTCTATTATACAATCTTTGTTTGCTAAAGGAAAGTGAGTCCCGTTAGGCCTGTTACGCAACATCATGCAACTCATTGAAATTGCCTCTTGATGGTTCGAAACGGTTGTGAGGGTTGCAAAAGGATGTTGCTGCAAGCAATGTTGCACACGGTGTCAATGTCACAACTTGGAGCCTTTGGGAGTACAAATCCAGATGCACCCTTGCTGGGCTCAGTCGGAACTTGTGTGCAGCGCAACCTTCAGCATCTCCTGCTTTAACGTGCTGGCCTCTTGAGAAGCTCTGATTGGTGGTGCTTGCGCCGGAATATCTTTCAACCTCACGGTATGGTTGACCTTGAAGACTGCAAAGTTTGCTCGACTAGCAGCAAAGCAAAGCGAATCAGGACTATGAGGACCCTGTCTTTAGAGTTCGCGCGCAAAAAGTATCGCTGGGAGATTGGCAATCTAGTTAGCAAAGAGCGTCCGAACCTTAGCCCGAACTCATCCACCACGCAAACAATGCTAAAATAGAGTGTGAGCCTCATCTGAACTGCCTGCCCCATGAGCTCTTCACGCACGCCTGAAGGCGGTTGCCTTTTCAGGCGCTGCTTCAAGTGCCTTGCCAGCTGCTGCGAGGTCGTTCGAAGTGTACTAAAGGAAAGAATGAAGGACAAAATGCAATGATGTGTATACATATATATATATATATGTACGTATTCCTGCAGTGTAAAGCCAGAGGACGCCCCCTTACATCTGCTGTTGCTCTGGTATGCTGCCAACCCCGAGTGTAGCGTAAACCTGGCATTGGCAACTTTTCCCAAAGGCTATCGCAGTCCATTCACAAGCCACGGTTTTGTCTTCACTGAGATACTAGTTGCTCGTCTCACCCAACCGTTTCACGGGACCTTCAATACAAGGTGTCAAACAAACCAAAAAACCTTACCATCACAAAAATGCTTTCCAAGGTAAACCTTTAAACCGTTTCTGTAACAATCTGGCCTTTACAACAAGGCCTTGCAAACATGGCTTTGCTCAATCTTTTGCTCCAGCCTTATCAAAGCTTGTCGCGACTTAAACTTTGCCATTCGTGGGGTAAGTCAAGGCAAAGCTGCGATGAAGACTTTGCATCATTACGTGTATCATGCTGGTTGACGACACCGCACCTGAGAAGGGAGGGGACAAAAACCAGCCTCCCAGAAGACAGCACTCCCCCAAAACTGTGACAAAGCGATCAAAAAGGGCACCGCCACACGTGGCCTTTTCGTTGAGTCCGTTAGCCACCATGCGTTTCAGCCCGCCCTTTCTTTGGACCGCTTAGATTGTGATTTTTGTTCAGTGCGAAGCATGCCTGCTTGTCTCTACAGCGGAGCAGTGCAGAAAACGGTTTTGCTGATACCGCCCTCTTCTTTTGAAGTCTTCCCTCTTTACTTTACAGCTGACCGCATCCATATTTGCTGGTGAAGAACCACGCGCACAACTAGACAGGCTGCTGTCCACTTGAATTGTATTCTGGCCGCTTTGTGATGCTAATGATGCACTACTTCACCTTGACACCACTTGCATCACCAAGGCTTATAGATGCATTGTTGACCCGACCAGGGCTCACCCTACCGGCCAGGGCCATCCACGGGACCCCCCCACACCTCCTAACTCTCACTTCTCGTGATGGTATTCACACCGCTTCGCGGTCGAAGCCGCCCGCGCAGAGTAAAGAGAAAACAAAGACACACACAGACTCCATGCATACAGACATACATACATGGGAAAAGCGTGTCATTACCACCCTACTGGCTCGGCAGCAACCTGCGCTGCCCATCTCGGTCTGTCGCTTGGGCAGGACACACGGACGAACAGTGTCCCCCGTGTTGCGCATACTACCGCGAGGTAACGCCATATCCCCTGTCCGGCACATCCGGCATCGCCAACTTGTAGTCCAAAAACATGTCAGTTTTTCTCCATCGTCAAAAACATTGTAAAACACAGCATTTCGTCATTCAAATTAGGCCCCCCCCAAGCTAAAGTCTGGCCGATTTCTTTCGATTGCTGTTGCCACGGGCCTCCACTGTCATTATGCCCTTGGCACCTTCTGCGCGGGCGGATTTTACAGCGGGACAACCTACGACAACCTGCTCTTCATCAAAAGAATAGGTTCAATGGTCTTCCGATGACGGAAAGCGATGCAGCGCTTGGAAGTATTACCGAAAGGGAAGAGGGGGTGGGGGGGCCCAAGCTGATGACGGAAAGCGCTGTAGCGCTTGGAAGTATTACCGAAAGGGGTGGGGGGGGGGGGGGGGGGGGGGGGGGGGGTGAGAGTTCGAGATTTTGATTTGCAGACTTTTGGGGTGTCTTGAGGCAGGTTCGAAGGTGCAAAAAACACTGTAATTTACAGTAAAAAGTGGCTTTGGGTGGGTTTGTGTTGAGCTTATTTGCCCTCAAAAAGTTGCATTTTACCTGCACGGGAGGCAATTTTTGATGTTTTTATTGTTTTCTGGCATTCAAAGGCTTTGAAGGGCAATGTGCACAAAACACTGTAAAACACAGTGAAAAATAAAACTTTTTGGGATCATTAATGCACTGTTTTTTGACAAACTGGGCCCCGACTTTCCACAAGGGCATCGAATACAAAAATGGCAGAGAAAATGCTAAAAAAGTCGGCGGCGTTCCACAGCACCACTTGCATCACTACGAGGTGCATGGGAGGCACAAAGATTACAGAAGAGACGGAAACAAAGCAAGTCAACTTAAGATGAGAACTTTTTTGTCACCAAGGCCCACAA